GATCCTAAATAGGTGGGGTCTAAAAAACAAAGTTAAATATACGGTTTGAACCATAAACATGGTGTTTGAAATCTAATGACAATGTAGAGAACTCATATAATAGGATTTTATGGGGCCACTCATACTTTTAGAGGACAGTATACAAATTTTAAGCTTAGGAGGGAGGGTATTTGGTAAGAGACAATGAAGGAGGAAGTGACTCACAAACGAAATTTTTCAGCTGGTCAGAACATTCTGTCTGACTCATTTGACCACTAATATAGTAAGAAGTCTATCATTCCCATCTTTAAAAACAAATGCTACTTTCCACTGAACCAAAGTTCACCATCAGAAACCTTTTGGGATTGACTCCTGGACAAAATTACAAGCATGTGTGTCCAGAATTACATCATTGATGTAAGCTGTAATAACAGACCTTTGCTTTACCAGCATAATCCAGGAGCTGTACTCAATATTCAATAACAGGTCAGGTCCAGGAACATAGCCAATCTACTTGTAAAGAAACAATAATCATTGAAGCACAGACTCTTTACAATGAAAACTGGATGACTGTCTCGTATTCACACAGCTGCAGTATGACAAATTGAAGTGGAACAACCACAAGCTGGGTGGACAGAGAAATGCTATAAAGATATGCTAAGTCACGACTTTAAAACACAGACTACAGTTGCTGGTGAAGACTGCAACAAACAGAATGTTAGATAAGCCACAATTAGGGCTAGGGCTGCTGCTCTTTCTAAGAAAGGACAATTGACAAGACCAGGGGATAAAGAGCTTCAAGCTGAAACTAGAGACCAAAAGACAAACTTATATATGTAGTGTGACACTAATGGTCAATGGGCATAGATCTGCATATATAACTACAGGGATATACATGGCAGCTCAAGAGTCCAAACAGTGATTATCATAATAGTATTAATGACATATGGAGCAACACAAATTACAATTAAACTAAAATGATTACTGACAACCAACTATAGAGCATGCTAACTTCAACATCAGAAAGTGAAGACAGACAGAAGTGCTACATATCAGCTATGATTTTTATCTTTTTAAGAAAGACTTGTGATCATCTTCAAAGAGAAGGAAATAGGAAAAAAAGATGGGAGATAAGAATGTAAAGCAAGGTTCTTTTAGAATTAAGATTTAAAAAGTAAGTAATGTTATTTTTAAAATTTTCATCTACCTGATAGCAATCTGACCAGTTACCCTACCTCTCTAGTCTTGTGTAGCAGACATCCTTAACCCAGAGCTTTAGATGACCTATGAACTCCTTGAGGTTACATACAGAACTCTGAACATTTATATAAACATGTGCACATTTTTCCATAAATAGGGATTATTCCCTCTTTTTTATATTAGCTTGGTAATCTTGGTATGTTTGCCTTTAACCGTGACATATTTACCATCAGTGTAAGTAAGATATACATTTCTGGTCAGAATAGAACCCATGCTGGTGGAGCAGGGGGAACACAGAAGGTGTAGACTTAAAATTGCTAGAATATTAGGTTATCTGGATCCTATGGCTCCAGTAAAAATAATTTGTCTCACTATATGGTCTCATATCCTACCTGGTTGAGGAAGAAAGAAGATGCACCTCCACTTAAAAATCACCTATTATATTCCAAGCACTACTATGCATTTATTGATCC